AAACCTTCCTCCTCGGCCTCCCGTCACGGCCCTCCGACGCGCGAGTGTCCTCCAACTTCGCCCGGGCCTCCTGCAGAGCACAACGGCCGGCGACGGCGACCGTCCCTCCGCGGCTGGCGAACCCACCGGCTGCGTCGCAGAGGTCCTCCGCAAAGGACTGTCGCATCCAGTGGCCTGGATACCGCTGCCGCCTGCCGATGACCAGCAGCGAGGCTTTCATCATCGTGGCGTCCATCTTCTGGATCCACTCCTGCCAGATGCTATGGGAGACCAGCGCCGCGCGCATGAGAGTGGCCATCGCCGTCATCACCACCGAGCGGATGGGTGGGCCACCCCAGCGTCCCAGGGAGAACCAGCCCCCCCACCCCCAGACGTTGTGCGGCGTCCTGAAGGTGGAGGCGAGGACCGCCCGCTCTCGGAGAGCGCCGTCCTTGGGCAGGGCGGCGAACTGCGCAAGATAGCCCATGGTCGGCACCGCGCGCTGGTTGCACAATGCGCCGGTCTCCAGCGACGAGGCGCCAGTGCGCCCCAGCGCATGGCCGCGCCCGCGCCATTTTTGCCGCGGCTTGCTCCACAACGCCTGATCCGCGACGCTGGGGCCCAAGCGCACACCGAGATAGTCGGCCCAAGGCTTCGCATTGAAGGACTGCCACTGCGGCAGATGCTCCCGCAACCAGGCCAGAATGCGCTGCACCACGTCCGGGCCGAAGGGCTCCCCGACCGGCGCTAGGATGCACTTGGGCGGCTTGAGCTGCAAACAGGCGATCTTCTCATAGATGGCAAAGATCCGCTCCACGGGGAGCAGCGACATCAGTTGTTTGAGGGCAAGGCCCACGTCGTCCGCGCAGCCACCAGTCGCACCGCGACCCTTCGCGCCCACATGCATCTCCAAGTCCGCGAACAAGGATGCCGCGCACAGGGCGAACAGCACCCCCGACAAAGGGCATCCCTGCAGGATGCCCGCCTCCAGCGCGAAAAGGAAGACCAGCTGCCCGCGCGCCGTGCCCAAGCAGTGCGCGCCGGTGTAGAACCCCTGCAGCATGTTGACTGCGCCGTCCGGGATCCCCGTCCTCCTCATCGCCCCCATCATGAACAGCTGGCTGATGCTCGGGAGGGCGCGCTGGAAGTCAAAGAATGCGAGCACCGGAAGCCCGGCGCGCGGCCCGTCCAACGCCGAGTGCACGCGCGCCGCACCGTCCAGCGCGACCACGTTGCGCCCGAAGATGCGCCCCTTGACGAAGCCTCTCTGCTAAGACGGCACGGCCTTCCGAGCCGCCCGTGCCAGCTTGTCCGCCAGAACAGGCGCAATCACCTTGTGATCGGTGTTGCGGAGGCTCAACGGGCGCATGTCCCCCGCCTCCCGCTGCACCTCCTCCCCGTCCAAGTCGAAGTCTCCCTTCGGAATGAAGAGGGCCAGGCAATCGTTGAACTCCACATTCATGCCGTTACCGTCAGCCATCCACTGCGCTGCCTCAGCCAAGAGGCCAGCAGCCCCCGGGGCCTGCCGCCAGAATTCATAGCGCAGGCCATCCGGCCCAGGCGCGCTCCGGCCTAGGCTCTTGGCAAGCTTCCGCTCGAAATCGCACACCGTGGGAGGCTCCAGCGCGCCGAAGTCCTCGTGGTGGATCCCCATCCGGTCGAGATAAGCGCGCATCCTCCTCTGGTCGACGGGCTTGCGCTCAAACACCTGGCCCCGGTGCTCCCTCAGCCCCTGGGCGATGCTCAGCTCGTCCCTCACCACGTCGTCCCCGACGATGAGGGCCTGCAGCCGCACCCTCCTGCCCCACGGCAGCCAGAGCGCCGCTCTCCGCGCGACGGTCCCCAGCTTCCGCTCGCACTTCGCCCCATCCCTCACATTGACGGTGTTCTTGTGCTCCTCAATGAGCCGTTTCTCCTGCTCCAGGTGCTCCGCGTGGAGGCGATCCGAGCAGGACTGGAAGGCCACGGGGTCGCGGATAACGACGCGGCCAGGCAGCGCCTCCAAATCCAGGTAGCCAGCGAGCGCCGGACAGGTCGCCACCACCCGGGCCGCCAGCCGCGCATCCTGGCGCCATGCCGCGCGCGCCAACGAGCGCACCAGCTGAAACTGTGCGCCGTGAGCTTCAGGATCCTCGAGAAGAAGCCAATCCCGGGTGCGACGCGCAGCCTCGCGCCCCAATTGTTTGAACAGGAGCAGTTTCGAGGGCGCCGCGATGCCGCTGAGGTCCACCTGCTCCAGCATGAGCGTCATCTCCTCCACGAAGAAAGGCAGGCGAAATAGGTTGGGCTCGATGGGGCGCTCGGTCAAGGGCGTCGCCGAGCGCGGCCGCAACCGCACCGCAATGGCAGCATGGTCACTGATGCCACTCGCCTCCACAACCTCCGGCGTGCCAGCCAGGCTGACCGAGCCCTCCAACTGATTGAAGAGCCAGCCAGGGCACCCCACGTAGATGTGGTCGAGGGTGGAGACTCTGCCCCTAGCGCGGTCCACCCGGGTCGGCTCCTCGTGCTCGATCCTGATCAAGCCCGCCAGCGCACGCCGCCATTGAGCCTCGAGCGGCCGATGAGCCGGCCAGCCGCCCGAGGGGCCTGGCTCGACGCTCGGCTGCTGGGACGATTGGCCGGCGGCCGCTGGGCGCGACCGTTTAGGTTGCCACCCTCGGCCGCTGCGCCCATACCAGGGCAGAGCGGCCGTGCGGAGCCTTCAGGAATGTTGAAGTCCCCCGCAACAACCAGGAAGACACTCTGCGGGCGCGCCTGGACCTCCCGCTCGTCGATGGCAAGCCGCTGCTGGAACGCACCCACCATCGCAGCGGAAATACCGTGGTTGTGGATGTTATAATGAATCAGCTTGAAATCGGAGTTCGGGATGGCGAGCTCCGTACGCAAAACCCCCCCCTCAACAATGACTTCCCCCTCAGACAAAACTGGTGCAGGCCCCTCCCCGCCGCTGCAGCACGATGCCCCAACAAGGGCTGGCCAAAACGTTGCAACCCCACCAGCACCCGCATCACGATGAGGCGAGTGCCGCACCTGCCAACCAGGACCCATCCTAGCCAGCGTTTGCGTTAATAACTCAGTGCTGCCACGCGTCTCCTGCACCGCCACCACCGTGCCAGGGACCAGCAGGCGCTTCAAGTACCCCCACTTCGTCATCGAGTGCGGGCGGTCCCTGCACTGCAGCGCCTGGGAGTTCCACGTGGCAAAGCGGAAGCCGCCGCCCGCAACGTGCAAGCACCGCGCGAGCGGGCTAAAAACTATACTCGGCCACGTCGGCCCTCGGCACGCCGGCCAGGAGCTCCTCCGCGACGGCCGACTCGTCCACGCCGAACAGCGCCGTGTGCTTGTGGCACCAGCCCAGGCGCGGCAGCGACGTCGCATCGTCCACCTGGATTTGCAACACCCCCTTCCAGCCCGTGCTGACCGTGCCCGAGTCCTTGTCGACGAACCACCTCCGGTGGGGGTAGGTGGCGGAGAGGATCCGCTTCGCCTGCTTGCAGATGATCTCCGTGCGCACCTGCTTGGGGTTCCGGTCCAGCCCGACGAAGAGTTCCACCATACCGGCGGAGCCGAGCCCCTTTGCCCGGAAGGACCTCCATGAGCCCTCGGGCGTGCGGAGCGCCGAATCGGCCTGCCTGGCCCGCAGCGCCGCCGTGCCCGGGAGCCCCTGCATGCGCACCACGAATCGGCTGCCAACCTGCTCTCCCTCGATCTTGTACTTCGCCTCCTGCCCTTCCGCGGCCAGCAAGTTGGCCGCCCCAAGCCACTCTTGCAGCGCGTTCTCCACTTCCGCCATGGCCACAGCGGCCGCCGCACGCGTCCGCACCACAAGGATGGCCGGGTCGGGCAGGCGGGTGAAGCGCTGAGCCTCCTCGAGAGGGACCTTTGGCTCCGGCACCTCCTTCTTCGCGATCTCGAGCTGCTCGCGGAGCTCCTGAACGTCCCGCTGGAGTGAGACAATCTGGGCCTCGCACTTGTTGATCTTGGAGCCCTGCTGGTTGACGTTCTTCTCGATGTTGGTGCACCTCGCCTCGAAGGTCTTCCCGAGCTCCCGGATGGCCACGGTGGTGGCCGCCTTGCAGTCGCTCGCGACCTTGTTGCCCACGCTGGCCACGTTGTCCTGCACCACCTTGGTGTAACGGCCCTCCAGCGCCCGCAAAGCAGCGGCCCACGGTTGATCTTCGTCAGCGTCAGCATTTTCCAAGCCGGACCCGGTTGGCTCAGCCCGCTCCCCCCCCCCGGCGGCACGACCTTGAGCTGCCCGCGCCTCAGCCCAGGCATCGTTGGACTGCAGGGGATCTGGTCCACGAGCATCCCGGCCAGCCCAGGCGCCCGCGGGCTTCGCAAGACGTCCCTCGCCGCTGCGACTGCGCCGCTCAGCGCCGCCATGAGGGCTGCCATCGCGGCCATCGCGCCCCGGCCGGCTCTGCTCACCCGGCATCCTCCCTTTCTCGTGTTGCTAAGTCCGCCTGCGCTTGACACGCAGGAAACCCTCCTGCGGTAAGCTGCCCGCTCAAGATTTGGGCCTTGAGCCAAAATGGCAACGGACATATATATATATATGTATATACATATATATATATACATGCTATTCATTTATTTCTATAAAGAAGAAAAGACAGAGAGGAGAAGGAGGAGGAGGAGGAGGAGGAGGAGGAGGAGGAGGAGGAGGAGGGGAGGAGGAGGAGGAGGGGGAGGAGGAGAGGAGGAGGAGGAGGTGAGGGAGGAAAAAGGACGAGGAGGAGGAGGAGGAGGAGGAGGAGGAGGAGGAGGAGGAGGAGGAGGAGGAGGGGGGGAGGAGGAGCAGGAGCAGGAGCAGGAGGGCATGGAGGATGAGGAGGAGGACGACGACGACGTGAAGGAGGACGAGGAGCAGCAGCATGAACAAGAACAGAAGAAGAAGAAGAAGGATGAGGAGTAGCAGCAGGAGGGAGCTCTCGCAGGGTGCGAGAAGTCGGGGGACGTCAACCGAGCTCGTGTCCAAGATCGGTGCATGGGCCCTCCCTGGCTAGGGTGCATACTCAGACACCCGATGCCTTGTTCTTATTCGGTGCGGGGTCTCCAAAGTCCCGACCACTTCCCCCAGGGTCGGCATTCGTCCCGAGCCGTTGTTTGATGGCCCTGGGGCACTGCGAGAGCCCCCAAAGACTGAACATTCAGAAAAACCTGCGCTTCGTTTCCTCGAGACGCTGGATGTCCGGGTACACCGCTCCTGGCTGGCCCCATTCTGGGCCCAAGCTCGCTGTGTACGCCCTCCCTGGCCGAGACAGAAAGGCGCATGCGCCGATCCTGCCCTCCTCTCCGACGGTGCTCGGCACCCAGAGCGGCGACCACTTCCGCGGGGCAGGAATTTCATCCTGCATCTTTTGTGAACGGTCGCGGGACCAGGAACTGGCCTCCAGAGGCCGTACAGTCGGGACGTTGACCTAAGGAACCCTCAATCGGGAACGGGGCCGCCTTTTTCCATAAGTGATGCTTCCATTTCCCATCGAAAACATCAAGATAACCCAAGGCAAACTGTAAACCAACTAAAGAACACTAAACCCCCCCAAACGGAGAGGGTTCCTTCTTCAGCGCCCCGACTGGAACGTCTAAAACTCCAGCCGTCACTCTTTGTGGCGTCGCGCGGACCTGAAGGCAGTCGACGTCCCCCGAGGCGTCGGGGGCGGCCGAAGGTGGGAGGGCCCGCAGATCGTTGCCCAAGGCACGTGCGCGGCCGAGGGTGGGACCAAGAGATGCTGTCAAACGGAGGGAGGGGGCCGTGAAATCCAGGGAGATCTCATGGCCCCGGCTGTGACATCCACCAACGCGGGAACGTGGTGCCAATCTTGGTCACCGCCGAGTCTTGGTCGGCGTCACGTCTTGGAGCATCTCCTCGCGAACCGGCGACGGCCGACATGTACCACGACGAAATCGGCACCGACAAAATCTCGCGGTATCTCGGTCATGGCCACCGTGTTTTGTCTCTCGAGCCCCTCGTCTTGGCCGCCCCCGAACTGGGCTTGGGCGTCGCGTGATGGGGGGGGCCGATACATTGGGGGGGGGGAAAAATGTGCACCTCTCGGGTCCTGGAGGCCCCCTTATGGGCCCCAAAGACTTGCCGTCGCTCGGACGTCCATTTCCCGTGCATTTTTCGGTCTCGCGCGTGTTTTTTCTCCTCGATGGTCCAGGATGGCCCTCGTGGTTTCTCGCCGAGAAAAAATGCACACGTCGAAGCGATGCCAAGAAGAGCCCCTTTTCGGGGCCCATGAGAAGGCCCCTTTCTTGCGGCCCTCGCTGCCCCCCCCACTGCGCGACGCCCACTGGGCGGGGCCGAGCGGACTGCCGGACACGGCGCGCGTCCTCCCCGGGCGGGGCCATCAGCGCGGGCGGCGGTCGCGGTCCCTGCCCCGGCGGGCGGTCGCTCTTCTCTGGAGCCGGAGAGGCAGCCAAGCGTTCGGCTACAGGCAAGATTGACCTCAAGTAAGAGCGACCCCAGGCACGGCCAGCCCGTAACATGATAAGGATGCGCGGTCAGGATGCAAGGGCCTTGGACGCTCATGCCGAGGCTTTTCGAGCGGTGATGGTCATCGAAAGTGGTTGAGGGAGAACCGGAGATGACCGAAGAGGCAAGGATGCAAGGGTACCCTTGGGAAGTCGATCATCCTTACTATGCGGGCTGACTGTAGGTAAGAAGGACCTTGTGGCGCGCGGTTTTAGGTTGGCACGGGTAATCCAAATCCATGCGCGCGTGCCAGTGCTGCGTGAGCCCGCACCCAAGGTCACTCCTGCGAGGGGTCACTCTTTCGCGAAGCCGAGGCGCGGTCCTTCTGGGGGTCCAAGCCTCCAGCGACTCGGACCCAGACATGCCAGCGAACCGCAGCCGTCTTCGCAGACTTGTCGAAGGAGGAGGCGGCGGAAGCGGAGGACGAACAGGAAGAGGCGGAGAAAAAGGAAGAGGAGGATGAGAAGGAAGGCGGGCAGAAGGAAAAAGAAAAATGCCGAATCACTCATGCTGTAAGCGTCGGCGGATTGATTCGGTCAGCCGCTCTCGAACACGAGTGGTGTGGGGGATATATGTGTGCGACATCTTCCATGTGTAGTCGTCTAGCATATTTAACTGCAGACGTATTGTGGTATATTTGTCGACAGGCATCATATGACCTCATGTGTTAGAATGGTCTCCAGACGTCCCGCCGTAGATTCGCGACCAGACGTCCTGTGCTAGCGTTTGATCGCACATATTTCGCGCGAGGATAACCCACAAGACGTCTTGTGGCAACCTTGCTTTCTCGCGCCCCGCACTGCAGAATTCTCCAGACCTCCTGCGGTATGCCACGGCGGACTGATCCGCCTGAGTCACCCGTGCACTGGCTGCCCTGGCAGGAGGCAGGAGGAAGTAGGACATAGGAGGGGACAATGGGGACGTTGGAAAACAGTACAAGAATACAGGAGGAGGTAGGAAGCGCACCGGTCATCTGCGTAGGGCACTGGTGTGCTGGCGGCCACACAAATCACTGGTGCGCTGGCTGCCCTGGCAAGACGAGGTAGGAGGAGGTGGGATGTGTGAGGCGCGGCTATGACTATGAGGACGTAGGAGGGGGTAGGAGGAGGCAGGAGGAGATATGAGGTAGGAGGGGGCAGCAGGGGGTAGGAGAAGGCAGGAGGAGATCGTAGGTAGATGGAGGGGACACCGTCCTGAAAACAATTGTTGGGACGATCGTGAAACCATGAGGGGGGAGAGTTGAGTTGTGAAACCATGAAAGGCATAGTCGTCGAACCAGAAAGGAAAACAATCGTGAAACCATGAGGGCGGGTGAGCCGTGAAACCATCCAGGAGGCGCGGGTCCTGGTCGGAGGTGCGGCGTCAGTGAGCATCATTTAACCGATTCCTATCCCGACTGGCGTGGCCTGGGCCCCACTGGCCGATTTACCCTCGTAGATGGGGATGTGGGCTGTTCCCTTCGGGTTTCCAGGGGCACATCCCCAACTGCGGTGGTGGGGTGGTGGGGCTCGGGATGGTGATGGGGATCGGTTAAAAGATACTGAAATGGCGATGAGCATAGCTCAGCCCACGACTTTCCGTGATTTCTGTATATGAGGCATCTGCAACTATTGTGATTCATGTGTGTGTTGGTGTGTAATGGTGTGTGTGTGTGTGTGAATGTACACCTTCTTGTGTTGACGTCGTGGGGTATAGTTCTATCCATGCGTCCAAGAGTGTACTTGTATTCAAACGACCTGCAGCGCGTCAAGTGAATGCACCTCAGTTCGTAGCTCATCGTGTGGTCGCATCGTTGTAGCACGTGCGTTTGCGTCAGTTGCGGGCTCGAGCTTGAGACACCGTTGATACAGCAACGGTGAGCGTAGCTCAGCCGACAATTTTGCAATTTATCGCAATTTCGTTCAGCCACTCTTTGTGATCGCAGTCGTGGTCGTGAAAAGGCCTGCGTCCAGGACGCCGACGAAGCGGCCAGCGGCACAGTCGTGCCCCGCGGGGGGCCGAGGGTGCGCCACGCATGGTCAAAGCGATGCGCCCAGCGACGCCGCCTCGAAGGTTGCCGCCGAAGAGACTCGGAAGAGAAACCCCGGGAAGCAAACAGTAACCCCCCCGGCGATATCGTTAGCACAGAAGATAAAATAAACAATTATTTTGGGCGGCGCCCTCCGGCGATATCGTTAGCACATAAAAAAAATCAATTAATTTGCCCCCCCCGGGCCCGAAGCCGGCGGCAACGTGAGGCGACAGCCTGAAGAACCAATGCGCACGAACGCTTGCCAATGGGTTCCCGCCTTGCTAGAACACTGGGAAACTGACGCGCATCGAAAATCAAAGGTACATCAAAAATGACAAACAATGAAATCACCGCAAGCAACTATACTTGAAAGGACCCCCCAAAGGAATCCCAGAGGAATCTCAGAAGGAAGCCCACGCAGAATCTAAAAGGAACCCTATTGGAAATTCAAAGTAATCTCAAAGGAACCCAACAGAAATCGCAAAGGGATCTCAGCGGCAGCTCAAACGAACCACGAAGGAATCTAAGGAATCTGGAAAACGCGGGCTCGCGTGGACATAAGCAATCCCTATTGCGACCGCACTAGGGAAATTGATTATTTCAGGGGATCCTATGGGAGAGTCCACGGGGAGATATCGCAGACGGATTCCGCGACCCCCCCCGCGATATGTTAGCACAGTTATTGAAAATAAAATAATCCACAGGCTTCGGAGGTCGATGTGATGCTCCCTTCAGGGATTGTCGAAGGAATGTCAGAGGAACTTGAAAGGACCCCCAAAGGAATCCCATAAGAATATCACAAGTAATCCCACGCATGATATCAAAGGACCCAATAGAAGCTCAAAACAATCTCAAAGGAGCTCAACGGAAATCGCAAAGGCATCTCAGCGGCAGCTCAAACGAACCACGAAGGAATCTAAGGAATTTGGCAAACGCGGGCTCGCGTGGACATAAGCAATCCCTATTGCGACCGCACTAGGGAAATGGATTATTTCAGGGGATCCTATGGGAGAGTCCACGGAGAGATATCGCAGACGGATTCCGCGAACCCCCCCGCGATATGTTAGCACATTTGTTGAAAATAAAATAATCCACCGGCCCCGGATGTCGATGTGATGCTCCCTTAAGCAATGGGGCATCAAAGGGATATGACCGGAACCTCAAGGGACCCCCAGAATAACATCAAAGGAACACCAGAGGAGTCTCAAAGAAGTCCCAAAATAATCACAATGGAAACGGCAAGGAATCTCAAAAGAAGCCAATCGGAGTATCAAAGGAATCTCTGGGGAATCTCACAGAAACGCACAGAATCACAGGAAGTGACTCTGGGCAAGTGTGCCTTGTCGCTGGGCTCGGGGGAACAAGGGGACCGGGCATTCAGAGGCTTGTGGAGGCCTTTCTGGATGCCTCCTGGGAACCTCTGGGGACCTCCCCTCCGCGGACCTCTGGTGACCTGCGGGGGATATCGCTTCCGCCCCGGCCCCGGTGCCGGAAGCGTTATAATTTCCTCTGATGAGGGGGGGGGGGGAGGGGGGTTACTGATTGCTTCCCAGGGTAAAGGCCGTCCAATTTCCACGCGCGTCCGAAAGACCGGCCGCTCTCGCCGATAAGCAGCGTGCGGATGTCGGCTGGTCCATCGAGGAGGCGACGGGCGACAAAGACAAGCAGGGGGGCGGCACCAACCAAATACGAGAACGGCGCCCGTGCACCGTTAACAGGCTTCGACTCCCTTCAGGCCCCGCTCCGACGAGGCACTGTGCGTAGTTCTCTGGCTCTGAGGGCCGAGTCAAGCATGCACACTACCACTCCTGTGTCGGGGATCGGCGAAACCTGGGGAGACGCCAACGCGGCATGGGGCACATAAATCGTCCACGGATCCAAGCCCCCCAAGAGGCCCCCAAGAGGAGTCCTCTCCCCTCTCCTCCTCCAGACGCGGAGGTCAGCCTGAAGGGGTACGTGGCCGAGGGGAGCCCACGCATCGAGGATGAAGACGAGGAGGCAGAGTCCCTGACGGAGGACTTCCAAGAGATCTCTCCTCTCCCCCCCGACGTGGGGAAGCCCGGCTTCGCTAGTGAAACTGCCCAGCTGTAGTCCAGAGCCCCGGCCGGATTGCGAGTGCGCGCCGCCAGCCGCTGCAGTCGGCTACATGCAGGGGTGACCCTGGGTAAGAATGACCTTTGGTGCGAGGCTTTTAGGGTGCCGCGGGGGGCCCAAACACAAGCGCGCAAGACGCTACTACCGCGTCGCGTTCGGCGATCGTGGGGCCCTGGTGGGCCCGCACCAAAGGCCACTCCGGCGAAGGCTCACTCTTACGTGTAGTCGATCCCGCCGAGCCAGCCGCGACAGCGGCAGGCAGGGGACGGTGCGGTCACCTCGCCGCAACTCCGCGAGCCCCAGGCGCCCGAACTAGGGGAACAAAAAATGGCATAAACGTAAAAATTCGGAGGTCCGCGCGGATTTCTCGGATCGGCGCCGGGGCCCCCTGGCGGCGCCGGAGGCGCCGCCCCTGGCGCGCTCCCGAAGCGCCGACTTGACTCCCCGCAGCGCGCCTCCCTCCCCTTCGTCAGCTCGGGGGAGATTTCTTTCGGGCCATGCTGGGGACTTCGAGAGGGCTGCGCGTGCCGGCCGCGCAGTTTTTTGCACTTGCACGCGCCCAGGCCGCGAGGGGAGGACGAGAAGGGAGTAGAGGGAAGGACAACGGGGCGGAGGAGGAGGAGGAAGAGGAGGAGGAGGAGGAGGAGGAGGAGGAGGAGGAGGGCGAACGAACGAACCACCACTGCGGACAATCGATCGGGCCTGGCCGAGGCCAGGCGGGGGAGGCCATGGCACCTGGGCAAAATACAAGCATGCACCGTGGCTGAAAAGTAACACGAAAAGAGGGGAGGAGGA